TACCGGCGCTCGATGCGCAGCAGAAAGGCCTGCATTGTGCTGCCGTCTTCTGGCGGGATGAGAGTCCTATCGCCGGGTTCCGTGGTCCCCCCCATAACGGCCTTTAGCGCACTCATAGCCGTATGGAATTGTTCCCACGAGGTAAAGGGCCATTCTGCTGGTGCAGCATTGGGCAGAGGAATCGCTTGTGTGGGCACCTCTTTGTGCCCGTATGGCCGCTCTGCCACGGTGGGCTTAGGAGTCGCGTGGCGATGATGGGCGGGGGTCCCGCTGGGCATTCTGTTGACTGACATAGATAGAGTCTCCTGCGGAGTGGGGCCGATGACGCGTCCGTTGCGGAGCTGCATCCCTTACCGAGCAAAGATGCCTAGAGACAGTCTTTCAGACGTCGTATTTCATTTTCCAGGTTCGAAGGAAAAAATATTTCAATAAATTCCCGGAACAGCCCCCAAATGTAGTGCACTGCGCCCGCAGCTGCGACTACGTGATCTCAGTCCCTTGGGCAGGGTCTAGAAACTGCTCCCTACGCTAGTCCATTTCCTAGAAACCCTAGAAACTCCAGCTATAGCGATTAAGAATACAAAATCACGAGTTTATCAAATCTGTCTGTCTGTTTCGCACCCTCCTGGGAGCTCGCCTCTTAGTCCCTAAGGGAGGGAGGCCTGCCCCGGCGCCGGCGCTGTCTCCAGCCCCAGTCTCCACGCAATTCCACGAATTCACGTGTGCATATAAAATAATAATCACTTTCTCTTACTTTTTGTCTGGTAAGAGGGCCCTGTCTCCCTCCAGTCTTGCGACCCCTCGTAGGTCGCTGGCTAGCTATCCTCTCTAGAGCACTAACCAGCCCCATTGTAGTGTCTGTGCGCTACACCTGAGGAGCAAGCCACATGGGAACCAGCTAACCATCTTACCGGCTGCCCGGCTTTGCTTCGCGCTTGGCGCCGCCGCCAACAAAGACGTCTTCAGGCTCGAAACAACATTGGTCCTTCCGAGACGTAGACGTATGGGTCCGTTACATTCCACCGCCTGCAGCAAGGGCACCCTTCAATGAGGAGGTGCAAGGGAGCGATGCGCACCGCGTGCAATCAATGCGTTAGCTTTAGAAGAGCACAGAGATTGAAAAGGCAAAAATAATGTGTTTCGGGGTAGGTCTCTTCAGTCCGGCAAGAGGGGATGTTGTGGTGCACAGGCACTACAATGGGGCTTGCTAGTGTCCTAGAGACGATACCTAGCTAGCGACTTACAAGGGGTCCCAACACTGCAGGAGGACAGGACCCTCCTACTAGGATCAAAGTAAGGAAAACTGTCTATGAATTAATATGCATACGTGAAATGTATGGAAAATGTGTGGAGACTGGGGCTGGCGATAGCGGCGGCACCAGTGCAGGCCTCCTCCCCATAGGGCCTAGGAGGCGAGCTCCCCAAGTGGGGCGAATCGAACAAACAGGTTTTGAAAAACTTAAGAATTATTGTATCTCGATGAAATTTAGCTACAGTTTCCAGGAAATGGGCCTACGCTAGGCTTACTTTGTAGGCCTGCTCGAAGGGCAGGTAGCAGCGTAGTCGCAGCAGTAGGCGCTGTGCACTACAGAGGAGGCCTGCACTGGTGCCGGCGATATCGCCAGCCCCAGTCTCCACACATTTTTCACACATTTCACGTATGCATATTAATTCATAGACAATTTGCCTTACTTTTATCCTAGTAGGAGGGTCCTCTCCTCCTCCAGTGTTGCGACCCCTTGTAGGTCGCTAGCTAGCTATCGTCTCTAGGTCACTAGCAAGCCCCATTGTAGTGCCTGTGCACTACAGGGGCTGGCGATAGCGCCGGCACCAGTCCAGGCCTCCTCCCCACAGGGCCTAGGAGGCGCGCTCCCAGAGTGGGGCGAATCGAACAACAACAGATTTTGAAAAACTTAAGAATTACTATATTTCGATAAATAAAAGCTATTGTTTCAAGGAAATGGGCCTACGTTAGGTGCCGTTCGTAGGCCCTGCTCGAGGGGCAGGTAGCAATGTAGTCGCAGCAATAGGCGCTGTGCACTACACTATGCACACGTCGACCAGCCACCAATTGATTTTACACGTAAAGACGTTAGTTTCAAATGGACAGAACTTCACACAGAGGCGGTGCAGCAGCTCAAACAGCGCCTAATCGATTTCACTACATTGCAACTTCCTGACACCTCGAAGCCCTTCGAGTTATACACGGATGCCTCTGGTTATGCGATCGGAGTGGCTCTAGAACAAGAAAGCAAGCCCAACGGCTTCCTCTGCCAAGTTACGAACCCCACACAACAGAAATACTCGATCTGCCATAAGGAACTCTCGGCGTTGGTCACGGCCCTGGACAAGTGGTCTCATTTGCTCTGTGTCGCCAAAGTTACAGCTCATACAGATCACCGAGCTCTTACGCATATCCAACGACTCCAAGCATCGAAGCCTCTGCGCGCAGACACCTGCTCGCACGACACACTAACGACACCATTGATGCTTGCAGTAGAAGAAACGCGCGCGGCTCCTCGCTCTCGTGGTTGGCCTGCTAACTACAGGAAGCTCGCCGGAATTCGATCGCGACAATCTAAACAACGCACCTTGCAATCACCACCTTCAACTCTACCGCCTGAGCCCAATACATAGGCGGAACATCCCACACCTGCAACGGAGACACGAGCTGACCCTCCTGAGGCGCCTGAATGGCCGCAAGCTTACTCGAAGTGTCCTGTTTTCCGCTCCCCCTAAAAAGCCGCTGCGAAACAAGCGGGAGACGCTATTCAGATAAAGTTCCATATTCTTCAATTCGCCTTTCGCTCGGTGCCGCCTTACCTACACATTTGCATTCATGGACTATGGAGAATTTGCGTCCCACAATTCCCTAAGTTCTTCACACACGCTCTGCATTGACATCATGGCCATGTGACAGCCGGTCATCGAGTACAATTGTATTTGTGGGCTCACCTGGACTTCCCAGCTTTCTTACGTGTTTGGTATTTCTATTTGTGTGTAGTAGAGTGCATGATTTGTGACAGAGTATGTACTAGCCAGTATTGGGGACTAGCATACGCGCTCTGTTGAAGAGTGGCACATTGGCGTGCTACAAAATAAGTTTCCTGGAAAAGAATTTCTAATACCTCTACAGGTTGTGCCAGAATGGCAAATAGGCTGCTCAACTCCTATCAGTTGACTTGTCAAGACAGGAGCTGCTTTGACTGCAACCAATATTCGCATGGAGATTCGCTGATTGACCTCCTACCATCCTGGTTCACTTAACTTCCCTTCTTTCTTCAATGTAATTCATTGAGTTTTTACGAAAATTCGAATTTTCAGCTCTCAAACCGTAGAAGTGTGTGTAGAACAAGCATTTTCAACTGTCTCTCATCCTCTAGGCCTAAGTGCAAACCCCACTTAACAGTTGAATGCAGAAACGAAACGGTTTTTATATACAGGAACAGCATAAGAGATACCGTCGATGATCCCTTTATGCCATGCCTCCCGGCTATGCCAGTCGTTGCTACTGTAGTGGTCACTGCTACTCTTTGCCTGTGAGCGGAATGGTAAAACCGGTCTCCTTCTGTTTCGTCTGGTTTTTCTCTCTCTTGAAGTCGTTTTCCCGTCTCATTCCCCCTATTTCTTCCTCTATTATTTTCTGTTTCTGTTCACATTTGTCTAAGCGTGTCCACTTGTAACTGTGCTTCGCCCAATTCCATGCAGCAAGTTAAGAGGCCGAGACAGTGTCGATGTTGTCACAACGACCCAAACTGATCTACACAAGGATCGATAGAAGCTGCACGGTGCTGCATCAGCAAAACAGGTTTAGATGCAAACAATGCAGGTAACAATTGATATATTCTACCAATTTTTGAATAGCTCGTCTACTCTTGCCTTTTTTTCCTTTCAATCATTGGGCATATACCTGTGACCTCGTTAGTTCCGTAGCTGTCTGCATGAAAACAGTTGCCTTCGTTCCTTTCTTTTCTTTTTTTCTAGTATATTTCTGAGCGCAGTTTGATTAGCTTCAGGCTCATAGAAGCCTCTGCTTTGGGAACCTTGATGCGCGTTGGTTCTGGGGTGGTCAAGACCGACGCCACGCCGTGATTTGCACTGCGGTCGACGTATAAGCAACAAAAGTTGCGGTTTTATGCCTTTCACGACGTTGCTGAGCTCTTACAGAACTCCCTGTCGGTGGAAATATCTGCTCTCTTTCTGAAAGAAGGCAGGCATATGTTCGTGGGCTTCGCCGTAAACCGTCACAGACAGATTTCTTCGCCACTCCTCAGCAGTGATAGGCCCATATTGCATATATTTTGATAAACTCTCAATGGTGGCTACAGGTACTGCTCACAAAGAGCAGCGACAGCTGCGGGGTGACGCGCAGGACTATCAAGTTCTAGGTGACGATAAGACTACAGTGTTTTCTCTTCCACATCTCAATGAAGCACATGGGCCTCTTTGGTTCACATCAGGTAATCCACGGCGCCGCTTCCAAGATCGGCACAGGAGCTCATTGCCGCGGTTTCTAGTTGCTGCGGCTTTAATCCTGTCCATTTTGGTCATTGGGGTCATCTGCAAAGCTGCCCGAGAGGTTCCGCAGCGGCAACCAGGATCAACACATCGCCGCCTGGCCTCTGACTGGAGACCAGACGAAAGTGCTGAACTATGCCAGATAGCGGAGCACTGCCTGGAGCTGGAAGCAGACATGGGTATCGCTCAGCCAGCGGCACAGGCTACTGCTGGCGGAGGGCCTCTACAGAAGATAGAAAAGCTGGTGGCCATGTTGCAGGAAGCGGCAGAGGCCCACGAGCAGCAACGTACGGAAGGAAAAAAGTGCGTAGAGGAGCCCGAAGGTGTGATGGATCCCTCTTCTCAGGGCGCGGCCAATCCAGCGCTTACCAGCCTAGGTCCTCATCTGCACCAACTTGACGGCGACTCTTCAGCAGGGCCCGCTCTTATCCCGGCGCCCCCAGCAATATCTTCTGCAGGAGGAAATGCCTCTGAGCGGAGTTATGTAACGTATCATAGCCATGGGGTGCTGGGCGTGGTTTCACCGCTCTCAGCTATCCAAGTTGAGGGAGCGTGCTCACATAGTGCTCTGCAGGGACCTCCTAGGGCATCTCCAAAAGTGCATCCCTGTGCCGGTCATCCTTTTGTGCGTTTGCCGTCTGTGGAGTTTGGTGTCAAGCCACGACACTTGGTGCCACAGCGTTTTTTCCTGCACAGTCGCACCAATCTATCGCCCTTCCCCTATATGAGGACTTTGCGGCAGCTACTGATCCGAAAGTCGCTTGATCAAGCGGGAGCTGAAGCTCTTATGGACGCGTTGGAAAAGTTGGTAGATATTATATGGACCCAGGCGCAGGGCAGGACCCAGCAGAGGCGACCAGCTGTGGCCGTGTCCTTGCTGGGAAAGGACTTTATCGCCATGGATTTCATCGTTTCTGCCATACAGTTGTTTAGAGAAGCCATGGAGCTGAACTCATGGTGGGGAAAGTTCATTTCTGGCTTCCGAACGAATTATTACTTTCATGGGGCGGGCTCTGTCCGCCCCCGCGTCCGTAACCACAACACACAATTAGTGAACCGGCTGCTTAGCGCGATGCGTATATATAAACAAGGACTTCGCCCGTCATTAGATGAAGTAATCGCGTTGAAGCGTATGCTTTTTTGTTCACCCTCGGCCCCCAAGCCATTCACAGAACACTACTACGACGCCTGGAGACATGATGACGACCTTTTCGTAAAGGAGCAGCTGAAGAGGCAACATCTACAGAGTGTAGAAACTCATGCACTGTTGGAGGGATCAAATTCTCCTGGGGAAGACATTGATAGCCAAGCAGATAGTAGCACGCATGCACAGGGAGACGGACACATGCAAACATAGCAACACACGGAGAAGTATGGAGAAAAAGAGAGGCACTCAAGGACACTAAAGAATGCATAACAATGTACGGAGACAAAACGAGCAAAATAGGGACGAGCCTAGGCAGGGTAGGGTTCAAAGAGAGACGAAGATTAAAAAATAGTGACACGTGTGGGAAAGTACACATGCAGGCAGAGAGGGCCGATGTGGGAATGAAGCACGAAAGTAAAACAGAAGAGTTATGACAAAAGGGAGAAAACGGAGGCAGGCATTAACGGTGGCAGACAGGGAGAGGAGCAGGTTTAGACGAAAAGAAGAAGACACATAACGCAAGACAAACAGAGGACGTTTGCGTGAGTTTGTGCAAGTTATCTGTCTCGATGTTCACCAAACAAAACTCCGTTAAACAAAAGCTCTGAAATTCAGACTTTACAATTTGTGTGGGATGCCGTCGCTTTTGCTTGTAGCTTCTGAGCTGACGAACTGATGGCCAAGGTTTGCATGGCGTGCTTTCAACAGGTGCTGACACTGCAGCGTGTAGCGTCGTTTTTCGCATTTGTCATAGTCTGCTTTCCCCATTTATTCGTTGATTGCATTATTGTCTGTGGCTTTTTTTACTTGCTGTCTCTAATTCCCTGAATTGATCGATTTATGTCTTCACTGACTTTGTTTATTTCTATATCTAGGGGAGAGGGGTAGTGTGTCCTTTCTGGTTCACATACTTCCATTTCTCATTTTTGATTTTGCCCCGACTGTTTGGTTTTGCTTTATTTTCTGTGCTTGTGTTTCCACCTACTTTTGGATTCGCGTGCCTCGGTGGGAAGGAATGTGTTTTAAGTTGTCGTTTGCTTACCTGTTCAGCTTTCCGCATTGAAGTTTTCTGCTCATTCCTTCTGCTTTATGCCTTTCAATTTGTGTGCTCCCATTTGTGCTATCTCTGCTGCATAAGCCTTCAGTGCGTATATCCACACACTTCATCTGTTTTTTCGTGACTTCTCCCTCACATGAGAACATAAAATGTGACAAGCTTTCTGTTGGTGCATTTCCTCCTGTTGCTGCAGCAATTGCTGTTACCAGCAATTGCTGTTGTTGTTGCTGACACCCACTGCGCCCTTTGTAATTGCAACGGCACGAAAACCGTTATTTTGGCCCATCAAATTAATTTGCTTCTTACGAGTTGAGGGAACGAATGCACGTTTTGAGTACCTCTTCCTGTCCCTCATGCAGCAAAGCAGTAAATAGTGCACCTTTAGCTGGTCCGGCCGCTGTTTCGGTTTTTGTTGCAATTACCTCTCGCTTGTGTTGATGCGGTTGGGGTTTCGACATATTGCGCAGAATTGTTGCCTATAGGACAAAAGGCGGAACGTTTTTTGCCTTGCTTAATTACTTTATCCATATGCCTTTGAGAAGGATCCAATTTTCCGCCTGAACAGGGCCCTTCTCTGTTGTCAACCCTCATGTAACTCTTAGAGGAAGTGAAGGTAGGCGTATATCCGTGTATTTTGGTGCAGGGCCCGAACCAACAGTAAGAGTACGCACCTCTAGATGAAACACATGCAGCAACTAGCCAAAGTGGAGCGTGCTCGTGAGAAACACTATTTGTCCCGGAGAACGTCCATGCGCACGCGGCAGAGGATTGCAAAGTTCGTGCGGCGACCTCCTATGAGAATGAGTAGGTATGACTAGCTACTCGCGAACTGGCGTGCTCTTTCGGGCTCCCGAGTGTACAGAGTAGCAGAGCGCAAGCTCAGGAGGCCAAATACAGGCGTTTACCGTGGATGAGCAGTGAAAATAACCAGGCAGCTGCGTCTGTACGGCACCCCTGATAGCATCATTCACATGAGGGAAGGCTTCCGCCCGTTCCTATTCTTCAATGCCTGTTCTTCTTTCAGTCTGTCTATCTTTAGCCTTCCCTGTCTAGAATTATCTCTGTTTTTCAACTTTTATTTCCATACACCATCATGCATTTTTTCTCGTCGTTGCGTGCATCTGGTTGTATCTACATCTGGCTGTGCGTTCATGCTTGTCTCTGTTCATCTCTCGTTGCGCATTTGTATCTCTATGTTTGTAAGTCTCCGTTCTTTACGAGAAAAAATGTTTTCCTTGCACTGCATGTGTGTGTCTGGCTAATGAATGCGGCCCTCACTGCCCTTCCAGAAAAGCTTGGTCATCACTTCTCCAAGGATTGTATGGGCTGTCCGTGAATGGCTTGGGGGCTAAAGGGGAACAAAACAGCAATCGCTTTATCTCGATGACTTCAGGTAAAGGTGGGCGATTTCCTTGCTTATAGATGTCGATCACTCTAAGCAGCCGGTTCGCTAGCTGTGTGTTGAAGTTATTGAGCCGGGGGCGGAGAAGGCCAGATCCCTTGAAACTGTAATTTGTCCTGAAGGCACGAATAAATTTGTCCCACCACATATGCAGGCGCATCTCATCTCTGAATAGCTGTATGGCGCACACAATGAAATCCAGCGCCAGGAAGTCCCGCCCCAGTGCGGACACAGCCAAAGCTGGTCGGTTCTGCCGGGCCCTGCAGCTCGTCTGGGTCCACGCAACATCTACTAGACTCTCTATCGCATCCATAGTGGAATCTGCAGCTCCTTTGTCAAGCGATTTTCGCAAAAACAGCTCTCTCAAAGCGCTGAAGTAGCCAAAGGCGGATACATTGGTGCGCTGGTGCAGGAAAAGCCGAGAGGGTCGAAGCTTTCGCGGCGACACTCCAGTATCCACAGACGGCAAACGCACAAAAGGATGCAGAGGCACGCGCCATGCTTCTAAAAGGGCCATATTCAAGTAAAGGAACTGCTGTGTACCCACAGATGGGCCGGTTAGCGAACTATCTGCCCTCGGTTCCATGCCCATCGCTGGAATCGGTGTGGCCGTGTGTATAAATTCGCTGTGTTCGCGCTGTAGAGAACCTTTTACAGACTCACTTCCCTCTGCACGCGTCAGTGAATAAGGGAAACTCGAACTCTGGCCCTCATTGGTTTCGGATAGATTTGCAAAATGTCTGTCAAGCGCTGAATTGGCAGAGTCCTCAGAAGAGGAATACATAATAACTTGGGGCCCGCTTAGGCCCCTTCTTGCTTCCGTCCGTTGCTGCTCGTGAGCCTCTGCCGCTTCCTGCAACATGGCCACCAGGTGTTGTATGTTCGATGCAGGCCCTACGCCAGCAGTAGCTTGTGCCGGTGGCTGAGAGATACCCATGTCTGCTTCCAGCTCCAGGCAGTGCTCCGCTATCCGGCATACTTCAGCACTTTCGTCTGGTTGCCAACCATAGGCCAGACGGCGATGTGTTGATCCTGGCTGCCGCTGCGGAACCTCTCGGGCAGCTTTGCAGATGACTCCAATGACCAAAATAGACAGGATTAAAGCCGCAGCAACTAGAAACCGCGGCAAGGAGTTTCTGTGCCGATCTTGGAAGCGGCTCCGTGGATTACCTGAGGTGAACCGAAGCGGCCCATGTGTTTTGCCAAGATGCGGAAGAGAATACAGTGTCGTCTTATCTGCGTCAACTGGAACTCGGTAGTCCTGGGCATCACCCCACTGCTGTCGCTGCTCCTCGTGAGCAGCAGTTGAAGCCACCATTGGAGCTTTAGAAAGCTAAATAAAAAGACTTCAGCAGCGGTGAGGGAAGAACAGTAAGTCTGTCTGTAACTGCGCACGGTGCAGCCCGAGAACAGACACTTGTTCACTTCGAAAAAAAACGGCAGGGTTTCCGTAAACAATGAGGGCCCCGTGAGTCCAGAAGGGTCATGAACAGCATCAAAATGTAACTTATCGGGTATGTGTCGATCGCATGGCAACTCAGCGCTCGGCGCCGGTCTTGACCACGCCAGATGGGCGGAGGCGCATCAACGATGTCATCAGGACGACAAATAGGAAACCCCCACTGCAATGAACTTGCAGATACCCAGAATTTACTGGAGAATCTGCTAAAAAATAAAAGCGATACACAAAGAGACAGTTAAGTGTATGTTTATGCAGACCGTTCAGCTACATTGAGGTAGCATCGCCATAGTGGGTGCTCCCAGAGCCCGAGAGCACAAAAAGGGACGAAATGAGACATGAGCGATACCAGCTGATATTTGCATTGTATGCCAAGTTAAGTGAAGGCGCCAGCATCTCATTGAGCCTCTTCCGGCCCGCTGTCGAAAGAGATCGTGGACACCGGACAGAGAAGGCTCCGCTGATTTCGAACCAGTGTCCGAGTTTTGCCCCTCTACATGGTGCTTGTGGCTGGATCACGTGAGACTCAGTTCCAAAACGGACAAAATAAGACACGTTTCATCCAAAATAAAGAAAAATCGGAGAAAGGCATGAATTTAAAGCGACGACAAGACATAAGAAACGCGCTGGAAAAACGAGACGAAGCAGGAGATAAAGTGTAGGCTTCTGCAGCGCTCATGAACACAAAAGCGCACTCATTGCTTGAGCAACTATAAAACAAAATAAAAGGGATCGCCCGTGATTATGTTTAGAATATTTTTCGGCACAGAGAATTCGGTGCCTACATCCAGTTTCTAAATAACAGATCTTGGTGTAGTGAACAGGGCTCCTGGTGCTACTGCGTAACTTCTTTGGGCGAGGTGCACCTCTAATGAATTCTCTATGTTCGGCACATATATCATGAAATAGCATCAAATAATAAATAACCAGCCATCTTTCAAGTCTGTCAATCGCATAATCCGAAAATCACAATTCTGGATCAGTGCCTCGTCGCATTGCCGGCGTCTCCGCCATCGCCGAATTTGGGATATCAGCGAACACTCCCAGTCTGCACATACTATCTCGCGTATAAATTGCCTTGTGCCTTCATTACTGGGAATAAGCTATCTGTGTTCTTTGGGGGTGCTAACCTCTAGAGGTCACCAGCAAGATCCGTTTGTAGTGCCTGCGCGCTACGACAGGATTGCTGATGTGTTCGGTGCTACAGCGAGACACGCAAGCTGCTCTAAGAAACCTAATACGGCAAGCTGATCGCATTTACGCAGCAGATGCATGGTATTAAAAAGAAAAATTTACCTTTTGCCGTGGCATCTAAACCATGAACGCACCAGTTGCAAGACCCACGACTAAGCACTAGTCCTGGAGTAGCATTGCCTTTGTGCAAGCTGTTTGCTCAGATGTTAGGAACACAATCTGGCTCTTCGCTTGTATTTTCTAGAGTTTGTGACTAGTCAAAACAAATCACAACCGGCAAGCCCAAGGAGCAAATCAGCCATGTTGTTTGACAGGGATCAAGACGGCTAGACCACGTGTGCTCTGCTTAGAGACGCCGGTTTGGATCTACTATTGGCACTGTAATGCATAGGGACTTTGTGGACGCCTCCCTGCCGGGGTCTTTGGAAAGTATCTTTCCTCTTTCGTGGTACTAGGCGTATCTGTAGGACATGTAGATAGCCATAGAATATGAAAATATAGCGCTTCGCACTCGACAACTGACGGCTACTCTGAGATATGTGACCTGCCCCATACACCACATAAGAATACTACCTCACACTTGAAACACGCCATGAGGTCTCGTAAGAGTTATGCATCAGCAACCGTCGCAAACACGATAGCAGATGCTGGCTCAGTACTCAAAGCGTGTGTAGGATGACTAGCTACAGAGAGCAACCTGCGAGCTGCTGGGTTAGGCGCAGTGGAGAGGCTTTGTTCTCTTAATCAGAACGAAACAGGGCGCGCCGCTTCCAGTTTTGAAAACCTTCTCTCTTGGAAGGAACAGTGTCATGACATACCGTATTCAGGATAAATATGACAGCTTCAGTACAAGCTGCGACGGGGCCTCGTAATTGGCTTGCTCACACTTGGTGCGGGCCAGATTCAGAATTACAGTGGAGCGACGGAGCGCGAACGATGTGCTAGAGGGGTTCTAAGTATTTCCAATATCCTACAGCTTTGTAGGATTGGCCGTTCTATCACGCCTTTCAGTAGCTAGGTACCCTGAGGAGGTTCCACGAAACTCCGTACTGGTCTCGCCACCAGTAGTAGCTACATAGAGGCTGATCTTATTCCACTTTACCGGGAGCAGAATATTAAGAACATTCAATGTCTGCCAGAATAGCTTGGCAAGATGTAGAAGACTTTGCTGTTTCTCAATGTCTCCTAAATATTTCCTGCTGTTGTGGTCCCACGGGTACGAATAGGAAATCTGTGAGGACTGAACGCCGCATGGGCGAGGCAGCCGAAAGTGACGTGCCGCCACTAAGAACTGTCGGAATTTCACTGAAAATATATTTGGGGCTGGTTAAGGAGCCACCTGTCTTTCAGACTTGCTTGGGACCCACCTGTTGTCGCCGAAGGCACCTCGGGGGCTTACACGCCGGAGGTCACCTGGCGTGTCTTGCCTGCAGGTTGTGCTCCTTTTAATTGAGGCAGATCCTCAATTGTGCGTGCCGGCTGTAAAATGAGGGAAAATAAAACGTAAACGCGGCCGCTGCGGCCTCTGCGGCCGCTGCGGCCTCTGCGGCCGCTGCGGCCTCTGTTTAAAGAAGTCGTAGCGGAGGAGACGCAGGATGCTTGGTGGCCTGGGCTACGGGCCACTTGAACTCAATGAGAGGCTGTTACGCTGCCCTAGGCACTTAATAATGCTGTAAGGCATTCTGTTGCCATTTTGTGGTGAAGCATTGCCATGGTTGGACAGATCAGGAGAATGCTTGTGTCTTGGTCTGTAAAACTCCAATGCTGCAGACGTGGCCGGGAAGAGAAGCGATATTTGAGATGGTCCCTGTAATCCCTGTAAATGATTATAGAGTTTGTGAAATAACAACTCAGACGAATAATTATGCTTTTGTTCCTCGGAAATACGCACTTCTTGTCAAGTCGGGCAACTACACTCACGACCGCACTCTCGACTCAGCAAGAACCGGACTCGAACACCACGCACAAACATCCATAAGTGTCACTGAGTGAGGACTCTGGAAATCCTAATATTCGGTGGAATGGCAGAGCCGTCGAAGCCCGCATCAAGATTGCTGCTTCATGGCTTCCTCCAACGCCTCTTCCGCCTTTACCTACTGGAAAACCTATGAAACTGCCCGTCGAGTCTGCTTACTAGCGCGAACCTATTTATTAGCTTTTATGGATCCTATCAGTGTTGACAGATCAGGAGAATGCTTGTGTCTTGGTCTGTAAAACTCCAATGCTGCAGACGTGGCCGGGAAGAGAAGCGATATTTGAGATGGTCCCTGTAAATGATTATAGAGTTTGTGAAATAACAACTCAGACAAATAATTATGCTTTTGTTCCTCGGAAATACGCACTTCTTGTCAAGTCGGGCAACTACACTCACGACGTCGGCGGTGTCTGTAGACTTCATAGCCGCCAGTCTAACGTCATAAGTACTTGAGACAGACCAACACACAATCTGTGTTTCTGACTTGATGTGTCTCCGCATGCCCTTTTGTTTGTTTATCTCGTTCGCTTTCGTCTACACTGTCCATTTCCTACTTTGATTTTTATTCACTTCATTTTGTTTCCGTGTTTTCCCCTTTTTGCGTTCTTGCGTCTCAGACCACGCCTCAACATTACTAGCGCCGTCTGACTGCCAATCTATTTACCCTATTTGCTTGTTTTTGCCGCATTGTGCCTTTGTGTGTTCATACAGGTCTGTACTTATCCGCACTTTTTAGACTGTTTCCTTATGACGTGCTATTGCATGCCTTTCCTCTACTTCCTTTTGCCTCTTTTCGTCTTCTGCGTGAGTTTGTTTCCACTTTTCTCCGTTTGTGCGATTGCGCCATTTTTTGTGACTACACCTCTTGGCTGGTCTCATTTTCCTTTTTCCCCTATTTAGCCCTTCAAGACTCTTCCCGTGTTCCCGCGATACACTTTATTTGCAGTTTTCTTCGCCTCTGCTCGCCGCCCAGTGGATCCCCTGCGATTCTTCGCCTGTGAGACTTTTGTGTCATTTTCTGCTTTATTGTGGACCTTTCTGTTGCTTTTTCTCACCCCTTCTCCGTCCTTATCCCCAATTTCTCCATCCCTTCCCACCGTTGTCAGATTACCCGATCAAATGTTCGTCTTTCTCCAAATTGTTCACTCTTCTCCACCCTTGCACTTACCGAATTCATGACGCCGTACATGCCTTATCGCTTTTTTCTCAGTTTCCGGCTTTTCGTGGCTCCCTTTACAGGGCCTAGTGGCATTCACTTCCCCCCCTGTCTGCTACTCTCTGTATTTCCCAGCAACAACACAGTGATAGCAGTTCTACAGTTCCTGTGGTTTGTTACCGCCGTCGTTTTTTCTTGAACACTTAAAACAAAAGACAAGACCGTTTTCGTTGCCTCCTTGAAGACAGAAGTACACTGTGGGACAACCCACCTCCCACGACGAGGTGTACAGACACCTCGGCAAGTGAGCCGCAGCCTGGCCAGGGTTCCTGTTTGTTGCTGTTTTATTCAGTGGCACAAACGAATAAATCCCACTTAGCATACATGTGTATTGTATACATGTATGCTGTACATATTATTCAAACACGCGCGAATGCATATGCAATTTGCCTGTCTTTGTCTCGTGTCTTTGTGTAGGCAAACAGTAACGCCGTGGATAAAGATGCATGTGCATGCATGAACTAGAAACAGATTTATTGCGTTTACTCAAAGATAAGGGTGGTTCTTGCGAATTGTCTTCTCGAGTTTGCTGTAGGCCTCCTGCAGGTCCTCTGCCTCCGCTTCATTTGCTTCACTATCGTCTTTATTTTTGCCGCTGTTGGGGGGCGGCGGGGCTAGCATGATAACACTGGCTGGCCTTTTTGAATTGAAGGCGTGGCCGAGAGTCTTTTTGGGCCCCAGGTACGCGTAGGCAATGTTCTTGTCTTCGCACAAAATCGGTATGTGTGCTGTTATCTCGATTGGGTAAACGTCGGAAGCAATGAACACAAGGCCAGACTCCCCCTTTCTCAGGCTTTTGGTCACCTCGTGAACCCCTCGTCGCAGCAGCTTCAGAGACTTGCGTTTAGTCCCGCTGCTGCCGCTGCTGCCGCTGCTGCCGCTGCTGCCGCTGCTGCGGCTGCTGCGGCTCTGCCGCTCTGCTGCTGCTACCGAGCGAATCAAACGCACAGAGCGGCGGTAGGCCTTGCCCTCGAGCAGCGGCACCGCGCAGGGAGACACGTAGGCAGCAGCAGCAGGAGCTGCTGCTGCTGAAGACTCTCCCTCCATTTCACAAGCCCCTCCCTCCATTTCACAAGCCCCCTCTGTTGCTGCCGCTGCTGTTGTTGTTGCAGCTGCAACTACTCTTGATTTTAAAATCAGAAAGCCTCAATCGATCCTGAGAGGCCAGAAAAAAGAACAGCCGGCGAGGAGGCCCCCGCAACAACGGCAGCAGCAGCAGCTGCGGTGCGGGGAAGGCGTGTTCGCTTGCCTCAGAGGCCTTCCTGGCCACTCAGTGATTCATGAGGCAAGTTAAAAACGAGAAGATGGCAGAAGGTAAAGAATATTAGCGAAAATAAAGTCTCTAGAGCCACTGCCACTCGGCGTTTCAAGAGCTATGGTACTCCACGTGCAGCTGCTGATGCTGCTGCAGCCGCTACAGCCAGCCTGTCCCAGGTTCTCGACAGCATGCTGCGGTGAAAGCGCAGTTAAAGCTCAACATTTGCTAACACAATCAAAGTTAATAATAAAAAATAATTAATTAACCATAGTTTCTCGAGATCCACCTAGCGTTTGCCACTGTAGCCTTAGGTGCATGCGCTAGGAGGGGCCCCAGCACCAGTTGCACTTCGGGTGTAGATACACCCCAGCTCTCTCTAATAAAAGGCCCCTCAGACCCCCACACATTCCCCTGAAGTGACCAGGGCCCCACGACTTGCACTCTTTCCCGCAGCAAATCAGGCGTACACGCAGCAGCAGCAGCAGCGGCAGCAGCAACGGCAGCAGCAGCACAAGCTGTCCCTGCACAGGCTTCAGACGCTCACGATTTTCCCTCTAGGTAGCGCCGCGTCAGCGGGGACAGGGCTGCCCCAGTTGGCGCAGCAGCAGCAGCTCCTGCTGCTGCTGTTCCCTGATGGCGGCCTTCCACCAGGAACTTAGACTGAGACGGAGAGCGTCTGCCCGACAAGCTCTTCTCAGGCAGCAGAAGCAGCAACTGCAGCAGCAGAAGCAGCAACTGCAGCAGCAGCAGCAGCACAAGGGGCAAGACACAGTCGGCAGCGCCCAGTGCCCACCCAGCAGAGCCACGAGGGGCCCCCGGCCTGCGGCCTGGAGTCAGCAAACCCACGGCAGCCGAGGGCAGTAAGAAAGGAAAATTGAAACCAACAGAAAGGAGGGGCACAGGGGAGGCCAATTTCACCTTAGGGGGCCCCATCAGCTCCAGCGGGGGCCCCCCTGGGATTTCCGGGGATTCACCATGCATAGTGGGGCCCCAGTAAACCTTAGAAGCCACGAATGCGCTTTAGGAGGCCTCAGCCAGCACTGGGGGGCACAGCGAGGCCTTACAAAGCCAACGAAGGTCCAAGGAGCTGCTGGGTCTGGGGGGGCCTGGCAAGTCTCTTAGGGCTTTTGGATCTGCGGGGCCCCAAGGAGGCCTTGGGGTACTTTGGGGGCCCTCTCAGGTCTCAGGAGTCCCCAGTAGGTCTCAGGGGGCCCTTTTGGGTCTCCGGGGGCCCCCATAGGTCGTAGGGGGGCCCCCACAGATCTCAGGGCCAGCGCAGCGTTATGAAGCGCCTCATTCCCTGCACCGGCCGCTCTGCAGAAGACATAGGGGTGAGCAGCAGCAGCAAGCAGCAACCACAGCAGCAGAAGCAGCAGCAGCAGCAGCACAAGCCACGCCGCAGCAACCGCCGCAGCAGCAGCAGCGACAGGCGCAGCAGCAGCAACAGCAACTCGCCCCGGTCATTCCCCTTTCCTTTGTGTGTCTCTGGGGTGACTGTGATTTTCTTGTCTTTCTTATTTTCTTGTTTTTCCTTTTGTTTCTGCAGCCTCTCAGCGAGGACTGCGTGCCTGTCATTTCCACCGATGCGCGTAAGCTGCTGGGGTTTAGGGTTTAGGGTTTAGGGTTTGTCGCGTGGCGTCAGCAGCCCTAGGGTTTGTGGCTGAGGGTTTAGGGTTTGGCTTGTTCCTTTGCGCTACAGTTGTGGAGCCAACATACAGAGACACTCGCACAGTAATATATATATGGGGCCGCCGTCTTGTACGGGAGGAGGCTGAGGGGGGCCCCCTGCAAGATCGGGGGGCCCCCAGTGGGAGTTCCCCCAGCAGCAGCGCGCCGGGGGCCCCATATGGGGGCCCCCCAGCTGCCTTTTCAAGGGGGGCCTCTGGCGAGCCGTTTGGGGCTTCGTCCGGAGACCTTTCTGGGTCGGCTCCCCACTCCTTCCTCAGCAGCAGCAGCAGCAGCAGCAGCAGCTTGTGCCAGCCTGTGGTGCTCCGGGGTCTCTACGACACAAGAGTGACAGAGGTTGCTGCAGGAGAAACGCATGCGCTGTTTTTATCTGACAAGGGGATTGTGCATGCGTACGGCACTGGGGTGTACGGACAGCTGGGCTTGGGGCCCGTTCTGCTCACAGCCAAACAGCCACAAAAGATTCATGGACTAGGAGGGCCAGTAGTTCAAGTTGCTGCTGGGGAATACCATTCTGTGGCTCTTACAGAAGACGTAGGCCTGGCTTGCGTTGTTGTTGACGTTTCTTTTCGCCTTTTTCTATCCTTTTTGTCCCTTTCGGCTTCTTCTTGTCTTGTTCTAGTTACCTCCCATCTTTTCAAGTTTCTCTGTCAGTTCTTTGCTTCCGTTTCCTATTTCTTCTTTTTTCGTCTTTGCGTTTTCTTTGCTCATATTTGCCGCGTCTGGACGTCGCTGTGCCTTGGCTACGTCTTACTGCCTTTTCTGTCTTTCGCTTGCATTTGCATGTTGTCAGTTTCTGTTTAATCCAGAGCTGTTTGCTTCTGTTGTCCAAATAAAGATCCCCTTTTCTTGCTTTTCTTTGATGCCCATCTTCGCCTTCGTGTGTTTATTCGCCTCTCTGAGTTTGTGCCCATGTCTGGTTGTCTTTTGTTTGTTTTATTTTTCATTTACCCCCAATGTGCATTGGCAGCGCATGCATGTGCGATTGCACATATGCCTGTGCATCTCTCTGGGAGTTTCAGTCGCTATAGCATTTATTATCACCAATTAATGGAAAGGGACTGAAATGAACAAGTGACTTCAATGCTGCACTGAAGAATTTCTCTTTTTTGCCTCTGTAGGGCTCGGTATACTCGTGGGGTGCTGGGGACTCTGTGGGCGACGGCAGCGGCAGCTGCGCCTACAGCCCCAAGGAGCTGCTGCTGCTGGAGTCGCTGCAGGCTTCCCATTCTCCAGGTGTATGTACACCTGTTTGCCGCCGCATTGCTGCTGCCTACGGCCAGTCTCTGGCCCTAATGGCCGGGGGCCAGTTGCTCGGTTGGGGAAGGCTCTTGCATGCGCGTTTCTCGCTCTTTCCGCGGCTCATATTTTTCTTCAATCACACGCAAAGAATTAACCAAATAGCCATCGGAGCAGCATTTGTACTAGCTCTCACAGGCAAGTAGGCGCGTCGTGCTGCTGCTACCGTTGCTGTTTGGTGCTGCTGCTGCTGGTAGTTGTAGTGTGGCGATGCTGTTGCTTTGGCTGGGGCGGGGCGTGTTGATGCAGCGGCCCTGCTGCTGCTGGTGTAGGAGTTGCTGCCGCTGCTGCTGCGTGGTATGCGCGGGGTTGCAAGGCATGTTAAGGGTTCGAGTATATGGCATTTACAGCTTTTCGCATACGTTTCGGTACTGTCCAACAATATGCATTTGTATATACAGAAGAATGGCTTTTAGATGCACACTGGTTTGGTTGATTCGCCGTTTTTGTTTATTCCTGGGTCTGCAGATAGAGGACAGGTGTTGGCATGGGGCGACGGCACTTACGGGGAGCTAGGTGAGTCCATCAACTCTAAGGTGCACATACACTTCGTCCCATGCAGCAGCAGAAACTACTGCTGCTGCTTCTGCCGGTGCTGCTGTATTTGCTGTTTCTTGTGCTGGTCGTGGTGCAACCGCGGTGTCTATTGAGCTCAGTTGCAGTTCCCTATCCCTAAGAGTCACGTGAACCATTGATGAACCTTTGCCCCCTTCCTCCCATCTACATTTATGTTGAAAAGCCTGACTCATACGTAATATATTTATCGACCTCTGACTCTCGAAGCATATATATGCCTTTTCTCCTAGCTGCATCTATACTCGCACACAAATTAGGCCGTAAACGCTTTAATTTGGGATGTACGTACAGCTGGGAACCCGTTCGACATCGCCTCTTCTGCTTTTACCCCTTTGACCCTTAAAGATGCCGGCGGGCAGCTGCTGCCTCCTATCATTTCTGTTGCTGCTGGAAAGAGGCACGCGCTGCTGCTGACTCAGGATTTGCGACTATGGGCCTTCGGGGATAACCTGGCAGGGCAGTGCGGCCTGCCCGGGCACCAAGGCAAGCTGGTGACCCCCAAGGTGATCTTACTTTTTAACATGAATCGGCTAGTTTCTTTTTGTTCAGCTTTGCGAGCAAATAATCCACGGGCCTTCTCACATAGTTTCCCTAGTTAACAAAGGACCAGTCAGTGCTTGTAGGCAGCAGCAGTAGCGCATAGATGTCCAATGGCTCATCTTACAAGTTTTTGCTCTAAGCCGGAATTCACGATTTTTAGGTTATTGATTGCGGCTTCTGAGCTGATTAGTTGTGCTGACTTGTATGTTGCTCTTCATATGTTGCTCGGACCCCCTCGGTATTCAAGGCTTGAATCGGCTTGATCATGACATCTTATGATCTATCTATCACTATGTTAGGATAGATCTATTTATATGTTTACTGACTTATTGTTTTCTACTTGACTGGTTAAGGTTGGGGAAGTGAGGGCTAGACTCACACGTGCTTTTTTGTGGCGTTTGCTCACATATTCATCAGTTGTATACGTCGGTAACATATTCAAACATATATTTATTGATATATTCATTGGCTTATTATTCCTTTGTGCTTAGCTAATTAAAGTTGGGGAAATGAGGGCCAGAGTCGCCAGAGTCGCCTGCGGCCACAGACACTCGGGGTGCATTACACGTAAGCAGCTTATCTTTTTTTCGAATCACCACTGCATTTACGATTAATTCAGCCAATTAATTCTCATTTTGCACATTTTCCACTTTTTCTTTGTTCTCTGCTGCATTTGATTCTCAGCAAA